GTTCGTATACCAAACTTTTTCCTACGATTCCTCGGGAAAGAAACAAGACAAAACTCCATTTTCGTACCATGGTCCATTCACACTTCGCGAAGGACGGGATAAAAAACAGGGTCGGCCTGGAAGCATCAAGGAGGCAGGGAAAAATGTTTCTTATTCCGAGAGGCGACCGCAATGTGGCTCGTTTCGGTCTCCTCTAATCTCGAAGAGTACCGCGGAAAGATCGAGCATGTCAGGGGGACTCGTTCTTTTGGTAGCAGTCGATGATGGCCTGTGTGAACCACCGGGTAAAACGAGAGGACCAACAAGAAAACGCGATCTTCTGGAAGGTGGTAATTACACCACTGGTAGAAACTGTCTGTGCTGAAACGCACGTTTCGTTACTAGAAGATTCGACGAGAAATGCCCGAATGGATCCGCATTTCTCTGAAGATTGCAGGCGTCGATTGAATTCTTAGAAAATTATAGGAAACTCAATAGGTTAACTCTTTCGCTGAGCAAATAAAAAAAACCATCAACGTACAAATTTCCGAAATTTCATGTTTTGCCATCATGTATAGAAGAAATTTTAAGAAATATTGAAACCGTAACCCCGAAGAATGATCTAAGCAAAAAGTGTCGAACAATGATCGTAACAGGCCAATTTATAAGCTCCAACTATTGTGATATATAAAGAACGTTCTTAGTGATACATTTCGAAGGTAGACACGCGAGAACGAGCCTTAAGAACGCGCGGCTGAGAATGGATCATCTGTGGTCATTGAAAGAAACATGCGTCTTCCGTGTCTTGAAGGGATTGCTGCAGGTAAGTAAAGTTTTACCGCTGTGCAAGCTCCAGAATCCGGAAAGGTGGATTGGCGGATGAAAGAAAATAGAAAAAAAGGGTGCGAGTATTTCGACCAGCTTTGAATTGAGTTTGCTGTTGATTATCTTGAACACCGATCTCCGCCGGTGCTGGGAACCCCAACTTCGCTGAACAGTCACAGAGACGGGGATTTATTAGAAGTAAAAATGACGCTCGTTTTGTCATTTATTCGAACGCAAGGAATCGAGTTAATTTGCACTCTAGCGTACAGAAAATAAGCTAAAATGTCTAAAAAGATTAACATATAAAAATTGTAAAAAATGACCAATATGGCTAACATGGTCATAGTATCAAAGTTTTGTTAACTGATTAGTAAACAATTGTAATTTCATATTGAAATCACAAGCACGAATTGACCTTCAGGATGACTAAAAGTATAAAAATGACTACAACACGGGTCAGTGTACCTGAGACATGAAGTTCGAATTCCATCGAGATGAGCGATACCGCTGCGTAACGCGTGATTCACGAAAAACGACACCGTGATCGAACGGTCAAGTTTGAACATTGAACGAGGATCACAAGTGGTGCAATTTCCGCACGCAACAAGTACTTAACGCGCTACAATTCGAAAGAAACTCTTTGGAAGACATTTGACTTGAGCATATCGGACGAATAATAATGAGTTACGGTGTTTTGAAAGATTCAGTGGAATAGAACGAACGATATCGCAGAGAACAATGCAAGAATCGTTAAGAGTTCGGTGACATTATGCCATGAATAAAATCTGTTTGGTCAATGGCCAGAAACACGATTGTATACCACGAAACTAAATCGAAAGAGCAGACTGGCACGAATGGAATCCTCAACATTTGCGTGTTGACATCCAGTAAAAAACTCATCGAAGCGACTCAGAATTGTAAACGCGGCATTATGGGGTAAATAATGGTTACTGTCAAATATTCAACCGAATCAATTCACTGATTTTATCAATCAGGAAGTAATTTAAAGACTGTTGTGATCATATACAATTGTATTTAGATTACTTGGATTATATTGAATGACAGTCTAAATAAATGGAAAAGCGATTGAAAATATATACTCACTTTGACTGTAGACTGCACTCGCAATGACCAACAACACGAGCGTTCCTCTAAGCCTCATGTTCAGGTTGCTTCAGTCTTCCTTAAACTTCAGTTTGTTCCGGCACCACTTGAACTCACTCACTATCGGTCCTCGTGATCAATCTGAACCGCGACGCATCGACTAGCGATCAAACAAACCCGTCCACGCAATGTTCATCGAATTACCGGCACGCGTGAACGACGTTCGCGTCAATTAAAGATGAAACGGTGCATCTCGTTCGACGAGACGACAAGGTAAAGAAAAAAAAGACTACACCTTTTAGAAAGAATCAGAATACGTCAACGAAGAGATGAGACTGTAAAAGTTCGGTCGTGAGCACGCCTTTCTTTGGCAAACGTGACTTCTCTCTTTCTTTCTCCCTTATTCCCTCTCTCTTGTTCCGTCCCTCTGAATAATGCACCGTGAACCGGAGCGTACAGCACTTTCCACGAGTTTTGCCGAGGAGGAACGCGATGGAATACCGTTTGATACTGTTCTTTCTTAGATGTTTGTTTACTTCGTTTACGAAACAGGAAAATCGATCTTCGCGATCTGAGTCGATAGTCGGCCACGAGAAAATTTCGGGGAAACTTGTCAGTCTGTTTTCTTCGGTTCCTCGTGACCCGTCGAAGGTGCTTTCTTCTATGAGACAACGTTAGACAATCGTGTATTGACATTCACCTCATTCGTGCCGTGTCAACGATCGAGACACCGTGGAATCGGAAGGGTTGAAAAGTGGAATCGAAAACGAGCACGAAACAACCACGAGCCGC